TCTCGTGACCCCGGTCCACTAGACCTCTGACTCTTTGGGCTTAGGCTGTATTCTCATGTTCTCTAAGTCCTTGTTCAGCAGCTGCTCCTCTGCTGACTCTGGACCTTTCTGGTTCTCAAAGGCAGGGGCAAGAGTGACTCGTTGTGTGACATATATTCCTAGGGGTTTCTCCATGTCTGAATGATTCATGCATGTCTGTGAGTGTGCCTCTGCAGCTGGTGTGTGGTGGGCCAATTGTGTCATTGCTTCTCTGTGCCATGATAGTTCTCAATTGCATGGCGGTGGCTGGTCTGAAGTCCAGTGCGCCAGCGTGTGCCGCTGCGTGGCTTTCTGGACACTGGGGGCCCTCCTCCTGGGCATCTGTGCGGCTGGGGGCCGGCCTGAAGGCCAGTGCTCCCCGCCGTGCGGCTTTCCAGGTACCTGCAAGGCTGGGGGCTGGCCAGAAGGCTGGCGCTCCCCGCTGCCCAGCTTCCCTGTGACAGATGCTTGAAAGTGGACAGCAGGAGACAAGAAAGGCCAAGTTTCTCCTGTCCCACACCACGTTCTTTTTTTCTTCTTTTTGGTTTTTCTCTGGTACCAGAAATCAAACTCATGACCTTGCGCTTGCCAGACAGGTGCTGTGCTGCTGAGCTAAATCCCCAGCCCCCCCTACCACATTCTTGCAGCACAGTGACACGTGAAGTGCACGCGTTTCCAGGGCGGCCACGCTGCAAGTCCCTGTGCTGTGTACATGGACAGGATTTTAACTGCAGTTAAAGAAAAGTCATTTTTAAACCTGGGAGATGTTTATGAAACTTGGGACATCTGAACATAATTGGATACTGTTTGATATGATATAAAGCAGTTACTAATCTTTACAGGTGTGATAATGGTATTATAGATAGGTTTTTAAAAAAGACTCTGGGAGGCTGAAACAGGACAATCACAAGTTTGAGCCCAGCCTGCACAACTTAGTGAGAACCTCTTTCAGAAAAAGGCTGGTGGGCCAGGGATATAGCTCAGTGGTGCAGTGCCTGCCTGGCAAATGCAAGGTCCTGAGTTCGATTCCTGGTACCAAATAAAAGGCTGGGGGTGGGAGTGTAGCTCAGTGTGAAGGCACTGAGTTTAATCCTCAGTGCCACCAAAAAAAAGAAAGAGTAGCTGGAGTATGGATTGAATAATTGCTGAGACAAGATGATGAATGCATGCCGATTCTACCTTTGCACCGCTTAGAATAGAAAACTAAAAAAAGACCGAAAATTTCCAATGGTGACCCGTTCTGTGTTAAGCAGATTACTTAACCTCTCTGAGCTTTCCTTATCTGTAGGACTGGAAAAGTGCTGATGTAAGAGATTTGTTGGAAAAATGAAGGTAACACGTAACTGGCACGGAGTTGTTTAGAACTGGGGTGGTGACAGTGGTTGCTATTTTGTCCTCACTTTAGGGACTTGGAAAACGCTAAACTGGTTGGCTCTGGGCTCTGTGGCCTGGGTTCTGGGACAGGCACATCGCCACCGCTACAGGTGGGCCTGACACTTCCCCACCTGCCCGCTCCTGCAAAGCCGCCTTGTTACGAAGGTTTTGAGGGACTGCACACAGGAAGGGTTAGGGCATGGGCCTTGCTCTTGCAGGAACTAGAACCTGAGAAGCTGTCTATAGCCATGGTAGTTCCTCTGCATGTTTGCTTCCTCTTTTCCATTTGTAGATCAGAGTTTGACAAACTTTTCATTAACCAAGAAGCAGAAAGCATTTTGAGCTCTGCAGCTTCCTGCAGACTGTTGGAGTGCCTTAGGCCTGCATTTCGAGTGTCAGAGAGCCACATGAACCAATGATCACCACTGAGTTTCAGTAATAGTTCACAGAACGGGGCAGAGAATGAGTTGGTCAGTGTGCTGCAGTTTCCTGACTTTGCTCCCTTCTGCAGAAGGCCTCCAGGGACATATGTTTCATCAGAGTGGCCACCAGGTGGCGCCTTCAGCCCCCATCCCTGGTCGCCTTGTGAATTTCTTGCCCGCTGCCAGCCAGGACTCCAGTCCAATTCCAGAGGCCCAGGAGAGAACACTGGTTCATGCAGGTGTCCCCAGCTAGACAGGCAGACAGGGCTTTTTTAAGGATGAAGCAGGGACTGTGGGCCGTGTCTTGAGAGAAAAGGGACAAAGGATGTGGGTAGTGGGCAGATTTTGGAGAGATGAGGGTGTGGAGCCACAGATAGGAAGGTCGCCTGTTCAGTCTGCTGTTATCTTTTTTTGTTGTTGTTTTGTTGTTGGTCTTTTTGAGACAGGGTCTTGCTATGCAGTTCAGGCTGGCCTTGAACTCACTTTGTAGCCCAGGCTGGTCTCGAACTCACAACGATCCTCCTGCCTCAGCCTCTCGAGTGCTGGATTACTGGGGTGCACCACCAGGCCCGGCTGTTGTCTCTTATCTATAATTTACAAATATATATTAAGGAACTTACTGTGTAGAATTATATATAGCTAGCTATGAACTCCAGTTTAAAAACCGCTAACTCTAGTGCACGTTTAAAAGTTTAGCCTTCAGCAGGCAGTGACAGTCTCAGCTGCCTGTGTTGTCTGCGCTTCCTGTGGAATTGCATCTAAGCTGTTTCCTTTGTTCTGCTGTAGGAGATCTGCCACAACCTAGGAGTGTGCTACATGTATCTGAAGCAGTTCCACAAGGTAATTAGTGGACAGAAGTGGGATTTCTCTGACGACGCCCTGTTACAGAGACAGAGGTGTGCTGCACATTTTGTAATCTCGTAGAGCTTTTTGGAGGTGAAAAATTAAAAATGCCTTTTTGTCTATTCCCATTTTTTCCTTTTTCTTTGGTGGTGCTAAGGACTGAGCCTAGGGCTTTTTTTGTTTTGTTTTGTTTTTTTGAGACAGAGTCTCGCTATGCAGTTCAGGCTGGCCTTGAGCTCACTTTGTAGCCCAGGCTGGCCTCAGACTCACAATGATCTTCCTGCGTCAGCCTCCTGAGTGCTGGGATTACAGGCCTGTGCCACCACACCTGCCCTTTATTAGGTGTTTTGATGGTAGCCATTCTTTCTGGGGTAAGATGTAGGTTTAATTTGCATGGCCGGTGATAATGAGCGTTTCTTCTTGTGTTTATTGGCCATTTGTTCTTCTTCTGTGAATGTCTATTCATGTTTTTTGCCTGTTTTTGACTGGGTATATTAGTGGGAGAGTCTAATTTTGAGTTCTTTGTATGTTCTCTTTTTTGGGGGTGCGGGGTGAGACAAGGTCTTGCTGTGTAGTCCAGGCTGGCCTTGAACTCACTTTGGAGCCCAGGCTTCCCTTGAATTCTTGGTGATTCTGCTACCTCAGGCTTCCAAGTGCTGGGATTACATGCACCACCACACCCAGTTTATATATTCTTGGTGTTAGTCCTCTGTCCAAAGGGTAGCTAGCAACAATTTCTTCCCATTTTGTAGGTTGTCTCTTCACTCTGGTGACTGTTTCCTTTGCTGAGAAGAAGCATTTTAGTTTGATTCGGTCCCATTTGTTGGTTCTTTTCTACAATGATGGTGGGAATGTGGACCAGTACAACCACTAGAGAAATCAGTGTGGAGATTCCTCAAAAACGCAAAATAGAAATTCCAGCTATCCCCTTTCTAAGTATCTGTTCTTGTGCCACGGGGTTCTGTTGAGAGTCCTTGCCTGTGCCGTTCAAGAGCAGGCTGCAGAGGCAGGCGGCCCGCGCTGCTGGCTGTGCGGTGTCGTGGTGTCGGTGGCTGTGCGGTGTCGTGGCGTTGGTGGGTGGTGCGCCCTGCTAAACTCAGGCCCTGCGTCGTCCTCCCTGGGAGTGACTTGCTTCCCTTTGCTCCGTCACACTCGTCAGGCACAGGACCAGCTGCACAGCGCCCTCCAGCTGAACAGGCAGGACCTGACCTACATCATGCTGGGGAAGATTCACCTGCTAGAGGGCGACGTGGACAAGGCCATCGAAATCTACAAGAAAGCCGTGGAGTGAGTGTCTGTTTCCGTGTTTAGAGCAATGAGAAGCAAGAGTAAGCGCGTGAGCTCCCGAGCCTGAGCGCGAACGCGCGTGCGTGTGAGTTGTGGGCGTGAGAGGGAAAGCTCAGCTGTAGGTTCCAAGCTGCAGTGAATGGCTGTGACGGGGAGCTGGTTTCTTTGTCCAGGGTAGAGCACTGCTGCGTGTAGCTTGGTGACAGTGCTCGAGGTAACGGTGAGGGTGAGGGCGCCTGAGGCCAAATGGGACTGAGCATCTGGAAGTGAGTTATAAATACCACACACAGCTCCTGCTCCATTCCACTCTTCAGAACTAGTGAGGGGCAGCACCCAGCGGCAAGAGGGCAGATGTTCCTGGCACGTTTGGGTGGCAGCTGGCAATCTGCTGTGTTAGCTTCATGCTTTACAACAGACCTCAGATTTCCGGAGATCATACTGGGGACAGAAATCTCCTGGCTCAGCAATGCGCATCTGGCCATATCAGCCTGAGACCCGTGCCTTGCTTTGTTTGGTGCTGGGGCTAGAACCCAGGGCCTTGCACACGCTAAGCACAGTCTACCACCCACATGCGCCTCCAGGCCCAATGTTTTCTTTAACTTTTTATTTTCAGTACTGGAAGTTGAACCTAGGCTTTTCACATTGAGCTAACCTTTTTTTTTTTGTACCAGGAATCGAACTCAGGACCTTGCGCTTGCCGGGCAGGTGCTTGTGCCACTGAGCTACATTCCCGGCCCCCCAACCCTTTTTAAAAAATGATTTTATTGGGAATAGAGTCGCACTTTGTTACTAATTTGCCCATCCTCAACTTGAACTTGGCAATCCTCCTGCCTCAGCCTCCTAGAGTCCTGGGATTACAGACATGCACCACTGTGCCAGTATATTGCTTTAACATTACTAGGCTAATTAGGAGCCCTGCTGACAGAGGAACTGACTGGTTTTCTTGCTGTGGAGTTCCACATCTCCTTCCCAAGAACACACACACTCCTGTCTTTACTCTACAGGTCTGGTGTCTTTAAAGTAGGGCGGCTAGAACAAGGTGTTCTCAGTTTCAATTGTTAGGTCTCCGTAAGATGTTGGGTCTGTAGTTCAGGGTCTGTTATTTCTGAAAATTAGATTCTGAACTAAGCTTAGATTTCTGTTATTAGTTACCTCTGTTTTCTACCATGGCAGTAAATTTTCTGCTTGTATTAATCATACTGCTTTCTGCCTGTTCTTGAATCACTTTGAATCTAACAAAACAGAAAGCCCCTTTGGCTTGGTAAACTATCAAAGGTGCTTACAGGTTGGTGTGGGGGCGCAGGCCTGTGATCCCAGCACTCGGGGCTGAGGCAGGAGGATCTCTGTGAGTTCGAGGCCAGCCTGGGCTACAAAGTGAGACCCTATCTCTGACAACAGAACTCACAATAAACTTTTGTTGTCTGAGGCTGAGTTTCCGGGGGCAAGCAGGGAGGAGCATGTAAGTGGTTGGGGACCTCTGTGGTAGCTTGGGTTCACAGGGCCTGACTTCTGGGAGTTGCCACTTTGAGGTAAGTGCACAAAGGTCCCAAGGTGGCCATTTCCGGCGAGAGCCGAGGTTGTGGAGGGGGCGGTCCTGTTGAGCGGGGACAGTTGCTGCTGAGTCCTGGAGGCGCCTCCTGCACCTGGGGATGGAAGTGGTGAGCGCACAGTCATGATGGCGCAAGGTGAAAGGCACGTTCTCGGCACCCTGCGAAGGCTTTGCTCGGCCAGCTCAGGCGGCTCCGGCCCTGGGTCCGCGTCCGCTGCAGGTGAGCGGCTCCCGACGTCACTCCTTAGGGGCAGGAGGTCATGCTGCGCACCCTTGGAGTTCTGTCGATGACCCCGCAGCCTGCCCCAGCGTTGCTGTGGCTTTTGACCAAAACTGGTATCGTAGAGACTGAAGAGGCACACAGTGTTTTACTGAAGCCGGTGACCACTCCCAAGGGCCCCTGAGGCTGGTGTCTCTCCTTGTGTTTAGCTTGGCTGTTCATTGTGATGCTGGTTTAATTTGGAGAGTGCAGCATCTGGGGCCTTGCGGTCCTAAATGACACGGAAATGATGCCGAATGGCGTAACGAGCACAGTGGAAACAGAAAAAAGAAGCCCCGCAGGAGACGATGCCACGCGCTGCAGGCGCACTTGCTCGTAAAGCTTTATTCTTCCTTAGTGCAGTCAAGGCAGTCGCAGGCATGTTCCACAGGTCCGTTCTTAGGATGCTGGCCCTAAGAAAGGAATTTGGATTTTTTTTTTTTTAATTTGCTATGCAAACCTTGCTGCAGCCAGGGTTGAGGGGACCTACTTTTTAAATTTGCAGTACTGGGGATTGAACTCAGGGCCTTTGCACTGAGCTACATTAAAAAAAAGTTTTTTTTTTTTTAATTCCTAGATAGAGTCTCGTGAAGTTTGCCTAGGCCAGGGTTGAGCTTGTGATTCTCCTGCCTTAGCCTCCCAGATTGCTGGGTTTAGATGTGTGTTACATCACTCTGGGCTGAAGACGACCTCCTTTTACATGAATTTCTTTGGGTGAAGGAGGTGTGGCAGTGCCTCAATGTTGCACGAGAGCAGCTGGCCATGCGTGGGTCTTAGTTTTCTCTTGTTGCTGAGACAAAACACCCAACACTCAAAGTTAAAGGGGGAAAGGTTTATTTATCACAGTTTGCAGAGGTTTCAGTCCATAGTTGGCTGACGCCAAGGCAGGGTGGCATGGCAGAGGAGCAACCATTCATGGCAGCAGAAGACAGCAAAAGCAACAAAGGAAAGACAAGACTTCCTGTCCCTTATGTGTATGCAGGCTGCCACCCTAGGGCGGGTGTAGCACTCACACCCTTAATCCTCGCCGGAACTACGCCAAGCCAGTCAGTAGAGTGATTTACTAATCACATGCCCTTAATCCCAGCATCACACACTCTAGATTCAGCCACTTCTGAAAAAGTCCTATGGCTGGATGAGGCTTAGGGGGAACGTGCAGACACAAACCGTAACAGCGTGTGTGTCCGTGTCCGTCACCATCGCCTCCCTCTGAGCGTCTCTGTGTTACAGGTTCTCGCCGGAAAACACGGAGCTCCACACAACACTGGGGCTGCTCTACTTACAGGTAGGGACACCCTTCTTCACCCATGGGTGTTGGGAGCGCTTGTGGGGTCCTCTGCACTCTGATGCTGATTTTAGTAGTGGTCACAGAGTGTGTGGCTCTTACTCTGCATCTGACATTCTTTGCTAAAGGAGTTCATTTGCTTCACTTAGATGGGAAGAACTCTGGTAGCCTCCGTGCAACTATGATTCGTACCCAACAGGAAAGGGTCCGCTCTTGGGGTTGAAACCGCTAGAAGTGAGCACTCACTGGGCCTCGGGCAAAGCTGTTTCCATCTGTTCCCTCCAGCCGGGTCGTACAGGAAAGCAAGGGAGCAAAGCACGCGTTGTCCACAATGAAAAACCTCCACCGCTCTTTGCATTCCGTAGCGCAGATAGTTCTTTCCAGGTCTGCCAGGTCATAGCCCTGATGTCAGTCCTGCTCCTCTTTAAGAGGAGCCGGGAGCTCAACCTTGGGTCCCAGCTCGGGCAGCTGGCCCCACGGGACACGACTGGCCAGCTCATGTCCAGCCAAGGGGTGAAACACCGTAAATGTGGCAGAAATAGTTTTGGAAAATAGCTGGTTGGTCCTTACTAGGAGACACAAAATTTAAAAACCCACAAATACAGGGACTTCTGCTTTCCTTAAATGAGCAGGTGGTTGTGTTCAGGCTGCAGCTGGCCCTCTCCCTCATGCAAATTCTCTGCTTTTCTCCAAGCTTGGTGTTTACCAAAAGGCATTCGAACATCTTGGAAATGCACTGACGTACGACCCCACCAACTACAAGGTACGGCGGGCCGGAAGTGGAGGGGCGACCTGACTCTGAAAGCAAGTGGGGAAGCTTCCTTTTGGGGAGACTGAGAAATGGGTCATTATCCCTGTCACTTGCAGCACTGGGACCAACCTTAGCACCTGCCGGGCCAGTGCTCTACCCTTCAAACGTGGCACTTCCTAGATGAAAATATTATAAATTGTGGCACCTTGCTTGGTGCCATCCAAGAACAGCTGTTTTAACCAGGCCGTGAGCCCCGCGGAGAGCACAGTCACAGTGCTGTGTGGAGGTGCTGCTTGAGAAACTGCAAGGCCTGTGCGACTTGTCAGAAGTGACTGGTGAGGTGACTTATGGAGCGCAGTGACTGCAGATGACAGTGGTCAGATGTGACCAGGGAGAGGGCAGAGCCTGCGTGGATGAATGGCTCCAAGGAGATGCAGCCAGCAGGGCTGTTCAGCACCCAGTCCCGACGCAGGGCGCCAGGAAGCCCTACGTAGCTCCGGCCTCGCGTCTCCCCTCGCCTGGAGAGCCTAGAGCCCCGGGCTGGCTCACCTCCGAGTGGCCACAAGAGCAGGTGTTTCTGAGCCCTGGCCACTTGGTGTACACGCAGGGCGGCCTTCCTGCAGTACTGGCTTTCCGGCTACTGTAGCAGCGGGGGTAAATGAGCTGGGTAAGACCAGTGACCCCCGGTACTGTGTCAGAGGGTCTCGAGGTAGGGCTTGGGACACTGCTCACGCACGTCTGTCCCACCAGCAGACTCCTGGAGGAGTCCCAGTCCTGTCTGCTGACGGCCTGCGGCGTGCACGCCGCCGCCCTGGGTCTGACTGAGGACTGGCTCTCCACTTGGGTTCTCAGGCCATCCTGGCGGCAGGCAGCATGATGCAGACCCATGGGGACTTCGATGTTGCCCTCACCAAGTACAGAGTTGTAGCCTGTGCTGTCCCAGAAAGTCCGCCTCTCTGGAATAACATCGGAATGTGTTTCTTCGGCAAGAAGAAATACGTGGCGGTGAGTGCACCCCGACCCTGCTTGTCGCCTCCGTCCCCACCGTAGGTGATGGGGTCTATGGAGCTCGCCCTGCTCCTCACGAGGCCCCTTTTGCCATAGGCTATCAGCTGCCTGAAGCGAGCCAACTACCTGGCCCCCTTCGACTGGAAGATCCTGTACAACCTGGGCCTCGTCCACCTGACCATGCAGCAGTACGCGTCCGCCTTCCACTTCCTCAGCGCGGCCGTCAACTTCCAGCCCAAGATGGGGGAGCTCTACATGCTTCTGGCTGGTAAGACGCACAGGGAAGGGAAGGGGCTCCTTAGGGGGAAGAGGAGTTAAACCATAGGCTGCTGGCTAGAGGCCCCGTAGAAGCCGTTCCCAGGAGACCCTGTAGGGATCTGGTGCGTGTCCAAGAAGTAGGAGCTGTAGGAAAGAAGAGAGGAGAGAGTACTGCTTGCTTCTCACTGGAGGAGCTGCCCACACCCTGCCAGCATACATCGAGATCATCCCTAGTTTGTCTCTTACCGCTCTTCTCTTGGCTTTCCCTTGAGGGAGGGGCAGTAGTGATCAGGCCTGGGACCTTGCAGAGCCAGCACACTACAGTGACCACGCCCCCATACCCCTTTCCACCTACACTGAATTCAGCCAGGTCCCAGAGAGCGAGCGTTACGAACTGAGGTTAGGAGGACCTTGCCCGTACTGCGAGCAGTACGTACTCAGGTAGACTCGCGGGATTATGCAGTAAAAGGCAATGATGAGTAGCAACTCCTGGTTTTGCTGGGGTTAAATAGTTGGCCTATGAATGGTGTTTTTGCTACTCTATTGTTTTTTTTTTTTTTGTCTTTTTGAGACAGGGTCTCGCTATGCAGTTCAGGCTGGCTTTGCGCTCACTTTGTAGCCCAGGCTGGTCTCGAAGTCACAAGGATCCTCCTACCTCAGCCTCCCAAGTGCTGGGATTACAGGCGTGCGCCGCCATGTCCAGCTATTTTTAGAACTCTAATATAACTTGTCCCCGGAGTTCCGAGTCAAGCTCTAGGGCATGGCGTATGGAGTGTGGTTCCATTCTTGAAACTATTTAGCCACACAGATGCTAAACTTCGTCACAAAAATGAGTTAATCAGGCAACTACTTTCAGTCATTTAAAAGTACTGACCAGGGCTGGGGTGGTAGCTTAGTGTGGAGTGCGTGCCTAGCAAGAGCAAGACTTTGGGTTTAATCCTCAGCACCACAAAAAAAGAAGTGCTAAGTATCTGTCTGGGGAATATTTTCTCCAAATACTAAACTTACTAAATGGAAACCCAGCAGATTTTTTGTGTCCTCCTCCAGAGTGGTTTTCTGGTGAATTTTCTTGGTCTTATTATGGGGTGCAAAAGTAACTGGGAGGCTTGAATGCAAAGATCCCCCAGTCCTAATGGGGACACAGAAATGGCGCAGGTCTTCACATGGACCCCGCAGGATAAGCTGGGTGTGGATAGCACAGTGGCCGAGGGTGCGGTGGTGCTCAGCCGGGTAAGGTCGTCCAGGCCCGATCAGGGAGGGCTGCGGGGATGGCAGACACAGTCTAGCCTGTGTTTGTCTGCCTGTGTCCTAGAGCTCCTTGCAGGCATTCTTTGGTGTATTGCCTGGTTTTCCTGCTTTACAAACACTGTGGGAAATACGGATTAAAAGCGGGGTGCGCGGTCTGTTGCTCCATGAAAATGTGTAGGTGATGGTTGTTGGCGATGGGAACCAGGGATGTGGTCAGATGCGGTGTGTGGACAGGAATGGAGGTGGCTGGGGACGCAGGGGGAGATGGGAAGCTTGACTGGGGCTTGACGTAGGGGAGTGCCAGAAAAGAAACTGCAAGCAAAGTATAGTGCTACACGCCTGTAATCCCAGCACAGGAGGCTGAGGCAAAAGAGTTGCCGAGAGTTCGAGGCCAGCCTGGGCTAGACAGTTGAGTTCAAGGCCCACCTGAACTATCTATAAAGCAAGATGCTGTCTCACAAAAAGCAAAACTGCAAAAGCAGGGTGCTCAGAGGTTGCAACTGACTGCCCATGGAGAGGGGCGCGGCTGAGGCTGCGGGAGGAGTGCAGTGGGCTGGTCTTCGGGGGCTCTGTTCTCCAAGCTGGGCTCCCTGTTGCAGTGGCCCTGACCAACCTGGAAGATACGGAGAATGCCAAGAAAGCCTACGCGGAGGCGGCCCGCCTGGACAAGTGAGCTGCCCCGTGGGAACGGTGCCGGGGGACTGGGTGCTGCTGTGTCGGCCCAGCTGTCGAAGGATCGGTTCTGAGCAGGCAGGGCGAGCCCACAGGCCACGTTCAGTGATTGGAAGGCCCACGTGGGCTGTGGACGTGGGTTGCCGATAAAGCTGTGGGCTCCTGGAGTGTTAGGACTCTAGGCTTAGTGTAATCTAAGCTGAGTGTCACTTCCAGGATTTGCTGCTGGTGTTTGCCACACAGCAGGGTAGGGATCTCCACCCACCAACCCCCGACTCCCACCCTGCGGAGGCTGAGAGGCCAGGCTCGTGGCACTGGGTACCTGCTTTTCCTCTTAGGCAGCGACGGTCCGCAGTGTGTGTTCCGCCCTGCTGTGCGGGGCAGAACTCTGCATCAGTTGTGTTTCGGGGGGTGGGAAGGACCCAGGTGAGCGTCCGTTGCAAAGCCCCGTCTGTCGCAGGTGTAACCCTTTGGTAAACCTGAATTATGCTGTGCTGCTGTACAACCAGGGCGAGAAGAGGGCTGCCCTGGCCCAGTACCAGGAGATGGAGAAGAAAGTCACCTTTCTCAGGGACAGCAGCTCTCTGGAGTTTGACTCTGAGGTACATCCTTGTAGCTCCCAGGGGTCACTAAGCAAGCTCTCAACACACTCATGGATCAAGGCCAAATAATCCAAATGCAGGGTATTATAAGCTCATAGCTCTTTTGGCTTTGACGTCCTTGCAGCATGAGTTTGCCGATTAGTTACCGGCTCAGACACACTTTGCTAGAAGGAAATAACAGGAAGGAAATGCAGGCTTCCTGAGTGACCTGTCAGTGGAGTGGGGGGGGGTCTGTCTCTCTGTAGCTTCCTCCTTCTCCCCCACTGCAGGAAAGGCAAGGTTTAGCCTGCCACACATCAGACTTAAACTGAGGTTTGAGATGCTGGTGGGGCCCCTGCCCTCCGCTAAGGGCAGTCGGTTTCTCTGCTGTCTGCGAAGGCTTCCTTGCGGGAAGTGCTTCCGCCCTCGACAGTCGTACCCTCGACAGTGGTACCGTCAGGTATCCCCAGGAAGAGCGGGTTGCCTCTGCCGGTCACGCTTGTGACTTTCCTTCCCGTGCTGCCCAAGATGGTGGAGATGGCCCAGAAGCTGGGAGCTGCTCTCCAGGTTGCCGAGGCTCTGGTCTGGACTAAACCCGTGAAAGATCCCAAAGCAAAGCACCGGACCACCTCCGCCAGCAAACCTGCCGGTCTGCAGCAGCCTCTGGGCTCCAACCAAGCTCTGGGACAGGCGATGTCTTCGGCAGCTTCTTACAGGAAGCTCCCTGCAGGTAGGAGCCCCACAGAGATGCAGCGGGTACGAGCCACTTACGCCCTCAGAGACGACAGCGTGCGGTCCTCAGACTCATTGCACGGGAGCACAGCACTGGCCAGGGTGGGAAAGGCGGGTGGCCAGACTAGCGCATCTGCCCGGGGCGAGCTGTGTTGTGGGAAACGCTTCTAGCATCATCAGTTGGGTGGGCCACACCCTGGGTCTTCACTGAGTGCTTGTTACTCGGTCCTCCTTTCACTTCACTCCATCGTCGGTTGGCACAGCACAGGTAATGAGGTTTCTTTTAGCGACTCGCAGACACCATAGGCCTGCTACGTCCAGAAAGTAGGGTATTTTGGAGACAGGATCTTGCTGTGTAGTTGGGGCTGGCCTTGAACTGACAGCGATCCTCACATGACCAGGCAGAGTAGGGCCGGCGCCAGTGCATTCAGAGAGGACACGGGCTGTGTGTGATCACAAGGCTCCAGGCCTGTGCAGCCTCCGCCTCCCGAGTGCTGGGGTTACAGCGTGCACCACCACGCACAGCAAGGTTTCCTCTTTAAATTCAACAGAAACCCTCATCAGTCCTGGAATCATGGAGCTGAGGGTGCCAGTTGTCTGTTTTGTTACAGGTGGAGGAACGACCCAGCTCACAAAGCCACCGTCTCTTCCCTTGGAGCCAGAGCCCACCGAGGAAGCAAGTCCAGCTGAAGCATCAGAACAAATAAGAGAGCCAGTGGCGGCACACCCCTGTAATCCCAGTACTCGGGAGGCTGAGGCAGGAGAATCACCACTAGTTCCAGGCCAGCCTGGACTACAGAGTGAGTTCAGAGCCAGCCTGCAGTACAAAGTGAGACCCTGTCTCAGAAAACCAAAACAAACAGAGCAAGTAAGAGAAAAATAGGAGGAGGTTTTCTTGGGGGAGGCTGCAGCAGATGGAGGCAGGTCACATGACCAGGCTGAGTAGAGGCCGGCGCGGGAGCATTCAGCGAGGACGCGGGCTGTGTTGGGACTGTGAGGCTCCACGCCTGTGCAGCCTGCATTGGCCTGGAGATGGAGAAAACAGCAGCAGTGCCCTGAGAGGCACGCACAGTGCGAGGCTGAGCGAGGCTGGGGTGTCAGTGAGGCCCCGGCGCTGATGATTCCGGAGGGCCTCCTGCCTGGCTGTCCAGCCCTTCCTTTGGGCGGGGCAAGGCTGCTCAGTACCCTTGTGATGACAAGCCCTGGCCCAGCTGTGGCCGCAGGCCCTGGGGTGCCATCAGTCTACCAGGCAGACACACATCTTGGATTAACCCACTCTGAACAGTCTAAAAGAAAGAAACGATGGAAGAAAGCTCTAAACTGAGGGCCAGGCTTTTAAGTGCCCGACTGCGTGTCCCCGAAGGGAATCCAGAACAAGTCCCTGCGTTTTCTTTTGCTGAGGCCCAAGTCCAGAGCTGGATCAGTCAGTGTGAGTCGTAGGCGTAAGGCCTGCCATCCGCAGCAAGGATTAAAAGTGAATCGGTCTCTTAGCAGAGGGATTTAGTGTCAGACAGTCAGTGCTGCCCTCTGACCAGCTGCTCCGAAAAGCTGTGTCCTAAAGATCATGTCACTGTTCTTTGGGCAGAGTTCTTCAGGTAGAAGACGAGAGATCACATTAAACGCGTTTTAGAAACTGTGACCGCTGTCTCCCCTTACCTGTTTCCAAGCCTGTTCGGGACTGGAGGAGGAGCGGCAGGGGCAGGCTCCTGCTTGGTAGCACCACGGCCTGGGCAGCACCCGACGTGTGCCGGCAGCCAGGTCGCCTGCGCTACTGGCTTCCACTGCGCTGTGGCACCACGGAGGGAGACCGAGTGCGTGCAGTTCTTCACGACAGGGTCCAGTCTGACACCCAAGAGGCAGCCCCTCGAGAAGTCCCTCGGTCCCCAGATCTAGACCCACAGCAGCTGGCAGACGTGATGCCCCTGCCATCCAGCAGGTGTGTCAGTCGGACTTTCAGCCTTAGCAGCTTGCTTCTGCATCAGCACGGAGGTGACGGCACTGGACTGAACGGGATTACTTAGTAAACCTGGGCAGGTTACTGAAGCGTCTCAGGGAGCGGGTGGAGCGTGTAAACTTAGCTGGAGAGGAGGGGCGACGCGAGAGAGATCTAGGAACTAAAACCCACAGCCGGGGGTGGTGGCACACCTCTGCAACTCAGCTACTTGAGAGGCTGAGACAGGAGGCTTGTGAGTTTGAGGCCAGCCTGGGCTACACAGCAAGACCCTGTCTCAACAACCAAAAAAAAATCTAAAATCAAAACTGTGGGTTGACTGTGGCAGATAACTGGAAGAGTTAAATCAACACAGGAACACGGCGCTGAGGGCCAACTGTCAAGTCTCCTACTTTAGACAGCCAACCAGTGACCTCTTAGATTTGAGTAACTGGGATTCAGGAATGAAATCGTGTGAAGGAGAGTCCGGAGTAATGTGGATAGCTGGAAACCACAGATTGGAAGGCGTCTTCCAGAGCAGGCGAGCATTATGCAGCACTCTGGGGGTGAGGCAGCGCGTCGCGAGGTTGACCCTAGCCTGAGCCACTTAGTGACGCCCTCTCTCCAAGTGAAAGATAAGGCGGGGCTGCGGGACAGCCCAGTGCCGAGGTCCTGCATCCAGTCCCTGGTGCCTTAGTGGGTAAAAACCCAGAGAACCAAGGCAGGGGAAAAAAACATATGAAAGGGGAAGCGGAAGGGCTTACAGAGGAGGCAGCAGAAGGAACAAGCACGAAAGGACAATCAGGAGTAGTGTTACAGGTCATGGGAGAACAGGCTCAGAAGGGACGGTCAGGCTCCTGAGGCTTGCAGTTACTGTCATTTTACAGAGGGGGCGCTGAGGCTGGAAGAGGCAAGATGAACTTCGAGTCCAGGTCCTGTCACACAGCTCCCACTCTTCCCGTCATCTAGCGTGGTGCGTCCTTGCTGGGGTTTGGAGACGGAAGAGGACATTAGGTGACTCTTAGTTCAGAAAGCTCCAGATAGAAGAGAGGCTTTCAGAGGTAGGACTGAGTTTGTTCCTCTGATCTGCGAACATCCGAGGACAGAAGAGGGCGGAGGTCTCTCCTCTTCCCTAAGAGAAGTGTGTGAGAAGCAGAGAATGTAAGATCAGACTGCTCCTTCCCTGCTTCTTGGGCTGAGATGGCCCCTGGCACCCACGGCCGGCAGGTAGGAAGGACTGCTTTCTGCAGCCACCTGGGCGCAGGTTCCTGAGAACACTCAGAACCAGGCTGCACACCCCTGTCCTGTGGGTGTGGGAGCTGCTCTAACTTCTGAGGGTTGTTTATATCACAGTTTGTCACAGTAAGGATAACCCCAGCACTTGGCAGCCTGAGGCAGGAAGATCACCCTGAGTTTGAGGCCAGCCTGGGCTACATAATGACTTCAAGGCTACCCAGAACTACATAGCAAGACCCTGTCTCAAAAGACCAAAACGGAACGAAACGAAAGCCACAGGAAAGTGAGGCCAAATACCTAAGTATAGGTACGGGGATTACAGGTTTGTGCCATCGTACCCAGCGATACCATATTCTTGGGAAGACTTTAAATACTATTAAGCTAAATCTCCCCAATGGATCTATAGATTCCTATCGGTCCCAGCGGTTTCTGGGTAGAAATGCACAAGCTGATTTTAGAGTTCTGTGGGAAGACAAAGAGCGAGCACATCTAAGGCAACAGAATCGGGAGAGGAACACTTCTTTACCTCAAGGCTTACTGCAGCAGTCGTCGTGGGCACTGGCGTAAGAACTGACACACAGGTAACACCATAAAGTGATAACAGACTTCACACAGTCGGTTGACTTTTTGATAAAGGCACCAAAGCAATGCGATGCAAAATGTCTTCGCAAGCGCTGGTGCTGGGACAGCTGGACAGCTGCGTGGAAAGGGTAGACTGAGGGGCTTGAGGCAGGAAGATGGTGAAAGGTACCAGATGTCAGCTAGGTCAGTGGAGTACGTCGAGGACAGCTCTGCGGCGATGAGTTAGCAGCAGTGTATTCTTGGAAATTACTAAAAGTAGGTTTTAAGTGTTCTTACCACACACCCTGAAAAAGGCCAGCTAATGCCTGTGTCAGTGAGCTTGATTTAACCATTTCACAGTACACTCAAAGGGACATATATACAATGTAGAATTACCAAGTAAAACGTAAAATAAACCTGACCCCAACCTAACATTATACACAAATGTAACAAATTGGGCATGGTGGTGCATGCCTGTAATCCTAGCACTCAGGAGGCTGAGGCAGGAGGATCACTGAGTTTGAGGTCATCCTGGGCTGCATAGTGAGACCCTGTCTGAAACAAAAACAAAAACCCCAAAACAAAAGTAATTCAAAATGGATTTATAGCCCTACTTATAAAAGCTGAAGTTATAAAATCCCTAGATATATGAAACTATGTTCATGACAGGTCACAAAGACATTGAGTCTCTGGGAATCAAGTCACAGACTTAGAGAAAATAACGTATCCCCCAAAATACCTGTATTCAGGATATTAAAAAATTATAGCTTAATAAACCAACTAAAAAAGCAGTGATTTGGACACTTCACAAAGACGTGCATGGCCAGTAAACATGTACAAAAGTGTTCATCATCTGTCACACAGGAAATAAAACCACAATGAAACCTACAGTGAAAACCAAAAATGGCTAAAACTGAACCCTGACAACTCCAAATGTTGGCAAGAATGACACAACCGTTACTATCACATACCACTAACAGGAGTGTCAGGGGGTTCCCACAGCTTTGGGAAAAGGTTCTTCACTAAGAACTCTCTCTAGATTTAAAATTTTTTTTTGTCTTTTTGAGACAGGGTCTCACTATGCAGTTCAGGCTGACCTTGAACTTGCAAAGATCCTCCTGCCTCAGCCTCCTGAGTGCTGGGATTACAGGTGTGTGCCACCATGCTGGGATCGCTCTACATTTTTATCCAGAAAACTGACAATGTGTGTATGCACTTACTGATAACAGCTTTATCCCTAAGCACCCAAGCAGAAGCTTCTGTATTTACAATGAACTACATGCAACATGGATTAACCTCTAAAACACACAATGAAAGAACCACATACTGAAGGATCTTTATTAATCTCAGAACTGACAAAGCTTATTTATGATGCGGAAAATAAGTTAGGGTTAGAATCGGGTGGGGAGGACTTGGAAGAGCACAGAGGAATGATGTGGGGTGCAGGAGTCTGCAGTGGGTTGGGAAAAAATACGCATTTGTCAGAACTTACCAAGTGGTACACTTAAAACGTGTGCAGTTTCACTACATAAAAATTTTACCTAGGAAAAGACAAGGAATTTTAAATTATTACAGTAGCTTTCAAATGAGGTAAAGCAGTCGTAAAGAGGACCTAGGAACTGTCCCAACTCAGTAGTAACGGCCATGCGCTTCATGACACGTGGCCCTCGGTGCCGAACGCTTTGCACATCCGTTGCCCACAGGCCAACAGCCCCATGAGGGCTCAGCACCACAGGAGCCCATTTTACAGATGGAGAATGTAAGGCTGATCAAGGGTCCCTTGTCCAGGACTGGACAGCGCTTGCCATCTCAAAACCTTGCGCGGATGGGGTTTGTCCAGCTGAGGTTACCCTCAGCCCACTCAAACCTGACAAAGGAAAACCGGACTGCTCACTGAGGGTTCTGGCGAGTGTGCAGATCAGCTCTTCACCAGGTCTGTAAGCCAGCAATGTTCCAGCTTCTCAGCGCCACATAAAGTCACAGGTGGAAACCTTTGTGAACAGTTTAAAGCAAAGGGTTGAGAGGCCTGAAGCCCGCCTCTTCAGCTTACCATGCCTTCAAGGTGCCTCTGCCAACTCTGGCCTCAGGGACAGCCACAGCCACACAGCCCATCTGGCGAGAAGGCAGCACGTTCTGCAGAGCCAGCTTTGCACACTCAGTCCTCACACACTTGTCCAGACATATGTTCACCAACATCTGATGAACGATCCACTGTGCTGCTTACAGCATACAATGCGTTTTGATATTTTGGTGACAACCACCAAATTGGCTTAGCAACTACTACTGCTATTAATAGCTCAAAGCTCATCTGAAGACCACTCGGGGGGTTGGGTGGAGCTCAGTGGCAGAGAGCTGGCCTGGCATGTCTGAGGCCCTGGGTTCCAGCCCAAGCACTGCAATAAACAAGAACAAAACCCCAAACCTGACACTCTGCTAGGCTACATACTGCCTGAGCACCTTTCCCGAACTGGTCTTCACTGACATTGTAGAAATTGGAGAATTTTTCAGACTATATACTCAACTTACAAAGACCGTGAGGAGAACACTTTAGTACTACTAGTGAAGTCTCAGGTTTAAAAGATTTAGAAATGATGAACTACTCCAGTTCTTGGGGAAACAGAAATCTCTTTAATCCCTTTTAATAAAAATAGCCTAGAAAGTTGCTTTCTAGTTGAACTTGGAGGCAGGGAAGGGTAAACTGACAGAGGTTTCCTTATCAAGTTACTTGCTTTTAACGGCAAGGTGTGCCATTCTCTAGGGTTACATTTTCTCTGGAAAAGAGTAATCAGATTCTTTTATCCTACACAAGACAGGGACAGAAGGTCATAAATAAAAAGCCTGAGGTAGCCGTGTGATTCCAGGAGCTGCTGTGTGGCCATCCACAAGACTGGCCTGCCACCAAGCTGTCACCAGATGCCGCAGCCATGCTGCCCTATGAACAAATTGCAGCTCACTGCACTGCTGGGTTCCTACACAGCTTCAACCGAGCTACCTCATGCTGGTGGCCTCTGTCTTTCTAAGCCCTCAGGGGGACAGGCCTACCGTGCAGGCTTAGTGTGAGGGACTGCCTGACCCAGTGACAAGGCAGACAAACAAGATCAGAGTGACATGGCAGTCTCAAAAGTAGAGTGAGCTGCAAACAAATTACAGGCAGACTTAAGAGTCCTGAAATGTAAATTGTTTTTAATATTTTTAAAAGCACACAGAAGTCTTGATTTATAAAAAAATAAATATATACCATGGCAAAGTTATTCATGATCCCGGAACTCTTTTGAGGTCAAATTTTAATGGATGCATCAATGACAACATAAAACATACACGGTCTGGTACAGATGCACGTTCTAGTTGTAAAAGTAAGCTCCTTCGCGGCTCAGAAAGAATCAGGCTTCTGCTGCAGAAAGCACAGCCATCCTGGGCGGGGAGGCCCGGCAGCCCGGCCTCGGCAGCCTCCAATCCAAGGAGCCCAGGCAGGAAGGCCCCGTCCCCGGCTCACGGCGGCACCCAGGCTTCCGGACACCTGCACCGCGACTGGCTCAGAGGCTCCCCGGAGATCCCATTTCTGCTGCAACCGTAAAGCACGGGAGGGACCTTTCTACCTGTACTTGTGGCCCTGACTGTGTCTGAGAGCAGAAGACCGAGAAGGTGTATGCTCACTGAATACTGTCACTGTCACACTCCATGGAACCGAGACCCCTCGGGAAGCGAGCTGAGCCCCAGCACCCCCCACCAGGCGCCTCGCCGGTGTGCGGGGACAGGGTGCTTTCTCTGCCTGACAAACTCTGGTGGGCAAAGAAGTCTGGCTTAAATTACTTGATGACACTGCAGAAGTTGGAGACTTGGGAATTGAAGCTTTTACTCCTGCAACACACAACATGAGGAACAAAAACCCAGTCTTATTAGTAGAGAACGAAATCTCAGTTCAAAGACGTGTTCCGACGGGCTTGCCAACAGGCTGGAATGTATCTGCGCAGCTGAACCTGCTGCCGCTTCTTTGGCTGTCTTCCAGTTAGGTCTAGAACTGACACCCTCCGTCCTGCTTTCCGAGCTGCTTGCTTCCTGCAGTCCTTCAGCCGGCTGGTGCTCAGCTCAGACACCTACCACCGCCTTCCTAATACTGAGCGGGGACTTCCGAGTAGAAGAGGCCTTCCGCCGAGATGGCGTCCCCGAGGCCCACAGTTCGAACTGGATCCTTGCACACCAGCACCGGAGTGAAGTAGAAGGAAATGCCCCCGCGGTGCCACTGCGCCACAGGCTCGCTCGGGTTTAGCACGATCCTGGAGCCCCCCTCTGAGTGGGAAGTTGTGAACTCTCGAGGCGCCAGCAGAGACACTCGGCTGGCGTCGATGGTTTCAGTGGCGCAGGCCTGAGTTCCGGCCACACGAGCCCCGGCGGCCACGGCTGCCAGCTGGTTGGCCCAGTGCCCATCCACTGTGGCCAGGATGTGGTAGACCAGCGTGTGGAAGTGGATCCTGGTGAGGTCCGAGGCTCGGCCATTGCTCCTCCCGTGCTCCTTCAGGACCCAGAAGAGGATGTCACTGACCATACCCACATCGGGAACCCCGCTCCAGGCGCTCAGAGAGGCGTGCGGGCCCGACGCCGACTGGCTGAGGAACAGCAGCTCCTGTTCGTTGAGCCCGAGGGAGGTCACTGCAGGAAAGACCTGCTAACAGAAACAAGGACAGGTCTCTTGCTGGTGGCCACACCCAGCTCCTGACAGCGCAGGACGCAGCCACTGACTACGTGACACGGACAGCGGGCATCTTCCTCTCCCCTCAGTCTGCCTCTCCTATGGCCACCGTGGCTCCTTGGGACACTGCGAGGCTGTGCTAGTGCCGTTGCACATCTGGGTTTTGGTCACGCGCCACGGTGACGAAGGGCAGAGGGCTCCGCCTGTCCTCCGCAGCGCCCAGCTTCGGCCCCTAACACACAGCGGATGCTTAGAGGGGCAGGCTGGGTTCCCAAGATGAGCAAATAAATACGGCTCTTTTTTAAAAAGTGAAGACACTCAGCTTCAAAAAGAGAAATATAAATAAACACTACACCGAGACACAGGAGTGAACCCACAGGTGAGTTCTGGGTGCCGAGTAATGATGACAGGCCAGCGCGGGAGCATTGGTGATGACAGGTGCTTCCCCAGAGAGGGGCGCTGACAGCACCGCAGCTCGGGACCTGAGGCAGCGCTCTGCTGTCTCGACTGTGCTGTGGGAAGAAACTGCCTCCCAAAATAAAGTCTATTTCAAACAAACAAGGTGGGGTGGCGGTGAGCTGGGTGTGTAGCTCAGTGGCAGAGCGCCTGCTTAGTATGTTCGAGGCCCTGGGCTCCATCCCTACCACCCCAGTATTGCAGAGGAGAGGGGGAAAAACCAGTGACATGTGTAAATATTGCATTGCTTCTCTGCTGTGAGAACCCTTAAGTGTAAATAGGGACGAAAATGCGTAATAGGTATGGTGAAACAGGAAGAAGTGGTTCAAAAGAGAGGGGAACTAGGGGGAAAGGGAAAGGAAGGAAGAGAAAAAATGATAAAAGAAGGCTAAATGGAAACAAAGCTTTGTAAGTAAGGAGAGAAAGAGGGGTTGAAGGGAGGGGAGTGGGAAGAGAGGAATCCAGATGTATCACATACAGGTAGGTGCCCTATACCGAACATGATCATTAGGTGTAACGAAATGGTACCAGTAAACTTAATAAAGCAGCAAAACCAAAAACTGCCATTTTCCACCTAACACGAATATAAGTTTTGGTTGTTTCCCCTCTCCCGCCACAACACAAGCTTATAATCACATTCCGGTGGCAAGGTTAGGGGAAACAAGCCCGGGCAGTTCCGCGAGTAGGAAGTAAACCGGTGTAATTCCCAGTGAGGGCAAGCTCAAGACCTCGAATGTTCGCTTATGCTCCCCCGTTCAGCAGTTCTACTGAGATTTCACGCTAAGCGAAACAATGCCAGACGTACTCACTGCAGCACCCTAAGGAAGAGCGAAGGAAGTGACACTCAAAACGCCCCCCGGGAGGCCCGCAGGGGCACAGTGTGAGCAGCACCCACACCTGCACCTCGGCTCCGCTGCCGGCAGAGCCTAAGGGCGCTCTCGGAGTACTGGCTCAGCTAGCAAGGAAAAGGCAAGGGCAGAGCTGTACCCAGCGTGGAAAGCGCTCTCTGGGTATAAAGGTGCACATAAAAAGGATGCGTTCCCACGTTTTCTTACACATGTCAAGTCTAACTGGAGAGCTAGGTAAGGAGGTCCTGGGGTGGGTACCAGCAGAAGAAGGGGACATGGTGGGGGACAACTTGACTTTGTTTCTGAACCATATGTTGCCAGGGAACAGGTTAAATAACAGTGAAATTGAAAGGAAAGGTAAACTGAGTCATAGAGCAGGGGAGTGGCAGAGCTAGCGCGCTAGCCTATGTGTCCTGCGCCCCACTCAGGCTCGTCCCAAGCACGCCACCGTCCAGAGGCAGGCTGGAAGTCTCTAGCAGCCTGCCGGCGAGCCACTCAAGGTCACCCAAGCTTCCTGACTTTGTGCTTCCTGCGATTTACATGAAAGCAGATCAGCTGGGCTTTCTGCTTCCTCCTCGAGTTCTGCCAACACCAGTCACCCCTGCCTCCCTGTTCCAGAGGGAGAAAGGTGACCCACAGCTGCTTGCTCGTCTGCACTGCCGTGTTAGGGACAGGCCTAGGGCCTTAGCCGGCTCCCTGGGGACCCAGGGCTGGGACACAACACCGCACCTCAGTGAGCCATCCAGGCTCTTCTAGCAGGCCCAAAGCCAGGCCAGGGGGATTACCTGCTGCACGATGCTGCTCATGAGCTCCCTGTTCGTCATGCTGGCCAGCTCCAGGTGCACTGGAACGCCGGTGGGGATGTCAGCAATGGAGGTGACGACCTACATGGGGAAGAGGACAGGACTGCCATCAGGATGGAGGAAGCTGGACAGGGGGGAAGAAAGACGAGGTCCCAAGCAGTCTGGTGCCCCTTGTAACTGCCTCCTCAGCGTCCTTGTGAGCCGCCAGGACTGCGGGTCCCCACCACCTCTGCGGGCCATAGACACGTTTCCAGCAGGGAACTACGCTCTGCAAAGAACCATCAGATTACAGGGTCGGAGGCAAAGGAACTGCCCGTCTGGATGTGCTGCCAGCCTATCCCGGGGTCTAAACTGAGCGGCCGGCTCCAGCTGCTGGACAGATGTGCAGGCACCGCAGCATAGCGGACGTGAAGCGCGATGGGACAGGTAACACAAAGGACACGAACTACAGAACCTGCGGCTCGCAGGCACACTCAGGTTAGCACAGCAGGCAGAGGCGTGGCCAAGAAGCTGCCCTGCCCTGCCCTGCGCAGCTGCTGCCATTTGTCCTCGGGAGACGGGACCTAAGGCGGCACAAGACACAGAGGCTGTGGCAGGAGCCTGAAGAGACGCCTGCGGAGGGCCGTGGGAGTCCCCCAGTGCCGTTACCTCCAAGAGCCTCTTCTTCTGGAGCTCCTTGCTCTGTCCCTCCATCATGTGCAATCCTGAGAGGACCACCAGGTCAGGCTGGAACTCCTCCAGGCTAGACACAAACGCCTCCAGCGCACTCATGGCCCCGTTGGAGAGGTCGTGGGAGAAGATGAAGCGGTTGGCGTGGGGAGCTTTAACCTGGCCCCACTCCTCCCCTAGAAGAGCCCAGTCGACACAATGGGAAGAAAAGGAAGAGGCGTTCAGTGTCCTGGCCGTGGGGGCCCTGGTTCCGAGCCGACGGCGATGGTCTGGAGTCAGCACGGCGCTGCATCCACAACAGTGGTCAGTACGCAGACTGACCCGAACCTAAACCCAAATCCAGCAAAGAAACCGAAACTGGGCAGGGGCTCCCTGTGCCTTTTCGTGGTGGCCTCCGAGTTCAAGGAGAGCCCTGCTGTCCCCTAAGTTCTAAACACAGGATGCAGTCACGCCCGGTGCACCCTCCATGGGACACACCGCCTCTTTGGAAGCCCGGTCCCCCGACGCACCCCCGTTTAGCTGGAATCTGGGCAGGCTGAGTCCCAGGGGCCACGCTGCCCCCTGGTGGTTTCTGGTCTCTGAGGCGCCGTGCAGCAAGCGCTGCCCAGCCACGCTCGAGGCCGCGCCTCCTGAAATGCTCAGCCTTGGCCGACTCTCCCTTGCCCAAGCGGACTGGCTACTTCCTTCCGGGCCCACCGAAGCACCCCTTGGGGGGCTTGGCACACACTGGTTCGGTCGGGCGCCCGAGCCGAGGATGCGGCCCGCAGCGTCTGTTAGCCCATCCTTACTGCCTCGCTGGCACCTGGCGACAGCGCGTGTGTCAGCAAAGAGCGCTAAGTGAACAGGGCACAGACTGATGACCTGAAAGACCACGACAACAACAACAGAGCTATGCACTCTGGACCCCAGGACAGCGCGGGGGGAAAACCGCATGGCGTGGATATTCCCCCCGGCAAGGCACGGAAACGCTGCGCCACACAGCATCCGAGATGAGCCGGCTGCTGCAGGGAGAGAGACGCAGAAATGAACCGGTTTCCGCAAGGCAAGGACAGCAGGGGCTACGGCAAGCTGCTCACCGGTTGCACCCGACACAGGACTGATGGAGTGGCCCGAGAAGCAAGCAGGCTGGAACCCAGCCAGGGACGGCGCCCCTCTGCTGACAAAGCTCTGCATGTGTCGCCGCAAGCAGCCTCTCTTCCCAGCGTCCTGCCCTTCCCTCAGCCAGGTCAGCGAGACCTGGGAGCGACTGCCTGCGTCCCAGCCCCAGCCTGCAAGTGAGCTGCCCTGGGCTGGGTGTGGGAGAGAGAAAAACGAGGTGACAAAGCCTGTCTGAAAGCGGCCGCCCAGGTCAGGGAGGCAGAGGACAGTGCTGTGAAGAGAGCTGACCTGGGGCTGCTGCCTAAGACTAGGCCCCCACCTATGACAATGTCACTTTGCCTCAAGCCTGATGGAAGCCACTGTCTTGTCCGAAGAAAGCTGAGGAGCAATGAAAAAACTGAATGCAAGGCTTACAAATCCAGGAAGGGGCCAGCTCGCAAGTCCCACAGCAAGGAAGTTGGGTGCAGTGGGTGCACCTGTAATCCCAGCACCTGGAAGGCTGAGGCAGGAGGATCGCTGCGAGTCTGAGGCCAGCTTACCCTACGTAATGAGTTCTTAGCCAGTCTGGAATTGTGAGACTCTGTCTTACAACAGCAAGGCTTCCTGAAGACACCCTTCTCTCTATTGGGCAGTCAACCATCGGAAGTGACAGAAATGAGGAACCCCAAAGGTGCCCGGCTCATGCTGCGGATGACGAGGGAGGTGGCAGAGACTGGGCACCTCTGAGCTATGGCAGGCCCTTCTGGGCAGTGGGCAGGTTCATTGAGCTGCTCACACTGCCCTGCCCCACCACTGCACACAGGAGGGAAACCACTACTATTTCCCAGGAGGTGGCGTGAGAACAGACGAACTCAACGTGTGTGCCGTGAAGTGTGAGGAGCCTTCTGCCTCTGATGTCCAGACCCTGCCTGTCCTGAATTCCTACCGAATGCTAGTAAGCACCCGAAGGAGAACCGGAAGCAAGCCCCAGTTCCTGTGTACTGGAGAAAGGCATTACCTTCAGGCTGCACCACCTTCCCACCCAACGTGACAGTTCATTACTCACTCCAGCAGGCAAGCGTCTCTCACTCACTCATTTGGAAGCAGTTCACCGACAAGCATTAGGTACTGATTATTGTTTGTTTGGGGGACACTTTAACATGAATTAATGACCTGTTGAGTCAGAAACCCAAGACTCTTGAGTTCTTAGCAGGGGAAAAGATAAAGGAGAAAGGATATCTGGGTGTAAGAGTCTTGCAGCAATCAGCCCCCTGGTCTTTAAAACACACCATCTATGGGGAGGCTGGATTTATAAACACTGGAGTACACATAATGGAAAATAATATAAGTGATGTTAAATATGAAACACTCATTCACATCCCAAGGCAAAAATAAAGCACTCCCAAGAAAGTCCGCCAGAGACCTGGAACCAATCGTTAGCAGATGGGAAGTCGGGTCAGAGAAGCCCAGGGCGGAATCCAGCAGAGTTAAGCAAACACTACCTGCCCTGCTCTCTTCTTAGTCATACAGGAAAACTTTGTAACTGTTTAACACATTTCCTTCTATTCAAGATGCCCGCTTTCCTGCAGCCCGATTTCCCTTGGGTTCAGGCGAGCTGTCTGCTGACCTGAGAGTTTCCATCAGGCTGAACAGGATCCCGCGGACTCGCAAAGATCAATGTCCGAACTCACAGCCCAGGCGGAGCACACACAACCCCCACCGTCCTCTCGTGGCCCCTTCTCACTTCCCTTACCTGCCTGATACTCCAGAATGAGGTGGAACTCGTCCGCTTCCTGCAGTGACTCTGGTGGGACAAACACGTTGTCATCAAGAAGCTTATGGAGCTTTGGGCCAACTGGACCGCAAAGGAGAACCTGCAGAGGAGCAGTAGGAAGTAAGTGTACTGGGAGAGCGGCCCCTTCCTACACAGCCTGAAGAGTGGCCGGTCGGCTGCACTCAGGCCAGTTCTATTCATTACAGAGTTGCTGGAATCCAGTCTCACGTCAAAAGCTCTTGGTTTGGAAGCGTGCAGTAAAGGGGTGCCTGGAGGACATGGCCACAAGTACCCAGAAAGGAGAGAACAACGTAAGACCCGAGTCACAGCCGCTGGGTTGTGGCCCATCCTCCCTGTTACGGAATGTTTCCTTCCCCAGAATTTACAAGCTGAAGCTCCACTCCAGTGGTATCTGGAGATGGAACTTTCAGGACATTTAAAGATCAAATGTGGTCCTGAGAAAGGGAGAGATGGCATGCACGCCCAGGGAAAGGCCAGGGCGAACACTGCGACAAGGTGACACCTGCAGGCCAGGGAAAGAGCCCTTACCAGAAACCGAACCCTGAGGCAACCTCAACTTTGGGTTTTCCAGTCTCCGGAACTACTTAAATCAGTAGTTTATGACATTATGTTACTACAACAGCCCCGGCAGAGCACAACATTCTATTCCATTCCTAAGGTATCTTCCTTTTATTCACACAGTTTATTTACAGTTTAGATCTCAACTGTCCCCAGATTCTCCCGTGTGTGGACGGGGACTGGAGCGTGGGGCCCCACACTCCTCAGCGGATTCACCCATGGATGAGTTCAGGCACAGCATGTAGCCAGGAGGTGGGGCCTGGCTGAGGCGGGGCCCTGGAGGGAGCACTCTTGTCCTCACTCCTCCCTTCTCTCTGCTTCCTGGCTGCCATGCGGTGAGCACCTTTTCTTCTGCCAGCCTCCTGTGCCATCCTGACTCACCTTGGAGCCAGCTGACCATCGACAAACCACGAGCCCAAATCAGTCGTGGTGGGAAAATGACCAAGACGCCCCGTGCAGGCAGCACTCCTGAGCTGCTGTCTGCCCCAGCTGCCCGATGAAAACACTCTCTGAATTTGACAGGCACAGAGAGGAGGGGGATCTAATCTGTGGGATCAAGCACCTCCTGTACTTAACTATTATACGGACTGCACAGACTTCCAGACGGGAAAATCAACGAGAACCTTTTCCCAAGCCTTTCTCTTCAGCTCCAACCCGGCTCTCTCCCCGGCCACTCCTAGAAGCTATTTCACGCCAGCTGCTGCCCTGCAGTCCCAATGAGAAGGTGCTGCTTCTGCTGGGTCCCTCAGGACTGGGGCCAGACTCAAACCCACTAAATATCGAGGGCCTCGGGGAGGAATGCAACACAGGTCCCCAGAAAAGCTCAGTAATATTCAGGTCTGCGTGCCTGCCAGGGACTTCAGAGAGCATTGTACGCGTACACCTAATTAAGACACCTCAGCCTCAGGGTAAAAGCACACCCCTCTCCCTTTTCTGAAAATTCTTGCCCCACTACCTTCTCTCTTTTTCTTTTTGCTTTTGTTTAAAATATTTAATTTTTACAGTATACTAACATTTCAAACTAAGTGTTGACAGAGGCTAAGAGTATAGATGGGGATTAACAACAGATGTCAGGGCCTGGTATGGTAATCCCAACACTCAGGAAGCTGAGGCAGGAGGATCGCTGTGAGTTTGAGGCCAGCCTGGGCAACACAGTGAGTTCAAGACCAGCCTAGGCTACACTGTCAGTTCAAAGCCAATCTGAACTACACAGCAAGACTCTTGTCTCAAAAAACAGAAACAAACAAAAACAACATGTCAGAATGGTTACCTTTAGTAAGCCTAAATCCCTCGTTTATATTTTCTTGTTTTTTTTTTTTAAATGAGACAGGGTTTCACTTTGTAATTCAGGCTGGTCTTGAATTCACTATGTTGCCCAGGCTGGCCGTGAACTTGAAGCGATCCTCCTGCCTCAGCTTCACAAATTCTGGGATTACAGGGGCACACCACCACGCCTGGCTTCTGGTTTGTATATTCTACACACATTCATAAAACTGCTTTTAAATCATTCCTAAACAATACTTATGCCTCAGGTCATGACAAAAGACAAATAATTCAGACATTTATTCTCATAGAAAGCAAATCTGGATTAATCTAAATACTATTCTTCCATTTGTTCTGCCTCCTGAAAATATAGGAAATGAAGATACCTCCTTATTTGGATTTCTTGAGTATATTTTATTAACTACTGAAATAAGTGGTGATGGGCCGGGGATATAGCTCAGCGGCACAGGTGCCTGCCTGGCAAGTGCAAGGTCCTGAGTTCAATTCCCGGTACCAAAAAAAAAAAAAGAAGTAAGTGGTGGCAACCCACTTTCCAGGTCCTCTTCTGTCCTCCTTAGACAGAAGCTATCTTTCTCTCAATAAGTTCTTTCTACTCTTAAAAAAAAAAAAGAAAAAAAAAAGAAAGAAGTGGTTAAGACTTTCCTGACACTACAGTTTCCATTCAGAACCAGTACAACTGGCCAGAGTGGCTGACAGCTAGATGTATAGCAAGGCTTTGCCCCTACCCTTCTTTTTTTGTTTTTGTTTTGAGAGACGGGGTCTCCATATGTAGTTCAGGCTGGCCTTGAACCCATTATGTGGCCAGGCTGGCCTCAAACTCACTGGGATCCTCCTGTGTCAGCCTCCCAAGTGCTGGGATGACAGTGTGCGCCACCACGCCTGGCAGGATTTAGAGCAGACTGAGACATAAACATTTCTGTCCTTCAACCAGAGAATGAGGGAGGAGAGAATTACGGGGTTTCAGTGACCCTGAAAACGTGTCACCTTACAGTTCTTAGAAGTGGCGGTATGGCATGTACCTGTGTAGGGTTTGTTCAAAGCCATGTGCCTACGTCTTGATAAGACAGAGCTCTACTGGTGGCCCTGAGTCAGCAGGTGATACAGCAGCCCCTCCCTGACACTAAAGCCTCACACGAACCCAGCAAACTGTCAGTACTGAAAACAGCTGTCACTCACAGTGTGCAGTTTACCAAAGTCCACTGTCAACCACAGACCCTTTTCTTCCCGAGGCAGTGAAGTGTGGAAAGCGGGAAGGAGTAAGTGCTAAATGCATCCCTTGGTTTCCAGTGCTGAAAATGGGTGCGATCTGTGCATTTTCCTGCTATGAGCTGGAGTGTTTCGGACCTGAGGGGTGGGTAGGCATAGCACTCCTTTTCTCAGCCCAAGAATGTTACTAAGGGGTTGGGGATATAGCTCAGCGGCACAAGTGCCTGCCTGGCCAGTGCAAGGTCCTGCGTTCAATTCCCAGGACCAAAAATAAAAGAATGTTACTAAGGAACATCATCTTGAAAATATTCCCACGTGAGACATACCTCCCAGTCAGCTAAAGTAAACAGTAAAGAAAGGAAAGAAAATTTAAACAGAAAAGAACACAAACTGCTTACATTTGTTCCAGTAAAATTATGTAGAAGAGAAAAAAATCAACTATATACACAGTACTGAGACAAACCACTCACTAGTAACTACTCATTACTGCTTGTATTAAATGACAAGTCAGTATTATTCCAGTATTTAGCTTCTCCCACTCTATTTCTTCTGCCTAATTCTTGGCTACAATTTAAGGACCGGAAATAGTAAGGACTGGATTTACTCTCCAGCAAAACAACAACAAAATATAAACAACATACATGAAACGACCGTTTTTAAAGCACTTGGACGTTAGGCAAAGAGCTGCACTCAGTCCCTAAGGACAAGAACGTAAGCGCGTCCCACGGACGCCTCGGCACAGCAGCAGGCAGGCTCCAGGTGTGCAAGCGAAAGGACGCGCCGCGGCGGGGCAGCCCCCAAGCCAGGGGAAAGCCGCACTTCAGGCAGAACTACAAGGAGACAGGATGGAAATGCGGATCTAGACAAAAAAGACAAAGAACACAGAGCACCAGAGATGGTCACGCTGGGTAAGTAAGCAAGATTCTTTTCCTTATTCAATATCTTTAAAAGATAAAAGCTGTTTAAAGAAAAATACTAACCATGTACTGTGAGATTCACAACATATGTTGAAGAAATATACTGCAATAATAGTACAAAGACCAGAGGGAGAAATGGAAGTATATTTTAAATTCCTGTAGTACCCATGGAGCTGCAGTATCCCTTGAAAGCAGACTGTGAGAAATTACATGTGTATCCTATAAAGCCTAAAGCAACCACTAAAATAACAAAGGATTACAGCTAATAAGTTGGAGAAGATAAAATACAATCATAGAAAATAATCCAAAAGAGTACATAAAAAGAGGAAAAAGGTTGTGAGACTCTCTCAAAAAAAAAAAAAAAAAAGAGAAAGGCTGGGCGTGGTGGCATACACCTGTAATCCCAGTATTCAGGAGGCTGAGGCAGGAGGATAGTTGTGGAGTTCTAGGCCAGCCTGGGCTACAAAGTGAGCGCAAGGCCAGCCTGAACTGCATAGCGAGATCCTGTCTCAAAAAGACACACACACACACACAACCAGGAAAAAGGAAATATATAAAGGATGGATGAACAGAAAAAAATTTGCTGGTATATTAAGTTAGCTTTAAACCTATCACATTACATGTAAATGGTCCAGACACCCCAGGTACAGTCAGGAATGGCTTGGTGGATTAAACAGCAAGCCCCAACTTTATGATATCTGCAAGAAATGCACTGTAAAACACAACCAGGTTAAAAACACCAGGATGGAAAATGATTCGCCAGGCTAATGCTAATCAAAAGAAAGAGGAATGCCTACCTTAATGAGACAGACTTTAGAATAATGATAAAGGGTTAATTTATGGAGGAGACAGGGTTTTTCTGAGCATCTGTGCACTGAGTAGCAGAGCTCTGAAACCCACGACGCGAAAACAGAACGACACAGGAAACAGTGTCCACAACTGCAGCTGGGGAGACGCTGAATCCCCTTTTTAGTAACTGATAGATCAAGTACACAGAAAAGTAGTAAGAGACTATTTATTTATTTATTTATTTAGAGACAGGGTCTCGCTATGCAGTTCAGGCTGGCCTTGAGCTCCCTTTGTAGCCCAGGCTGGTCTCAAACCTCCAGCAATCCCTCTGCCTCAGTGTCCCGAGTGCTGGGATTACAGGCGTGTGCCACCACGCCCGGCTAGTAAGAGACTACTTAGAAGACTAGAACAACACCATCAACCAGTTTGAGCTACCTGACATTTATAGAACACTCTACCCAGCCACAGGGAGACCTTTAGATTCTTTTTTTTTTTTTTTTTTTTTTTTTTTTTGACCTTTAGATTCTTTAAACATTTCCAACTGCACAAACAGTTTCACCAAGACACATCATATGCTGTCCATTATAAACCCCACTAAATTTAACAGAAGTTTGGTCATGGAAAGCACATGTTCTGAGCCGAATGAAATTAAAATAAAAACCAGCCGGGCATTGTGGGGCACGCCTGTGTTCCCAGCACTTGGGAGGCTGAGGCAGGAGGATCGCTGAGAGTTTGAGGGCAGCCTAGATTATATAGCAAGACCTTGTCTCAACATTCCCCTCAAAAAACCAATTATAGAACAATATTTGAAAAACTGTCAAGTACTTAGGAATATACCCACCTCTAGCCCACAGACAGCATACTAAATGGCACAACTCAAGAAGTCAAGAGGGAAAATAAAACAGTGTATCAAGACCCATGGCAGCAACTAAAGCAGGAAAATTTAAAGCACTACACACTTATATCGGAGAGTAGGAAAGGTCTCAAATCAATGACTTTGGCTCTTTAAGTTAAGAAGCTAGAAAAAGGAGACCTAGTTAAACCCAAAGTAAACAAAAACCAATGAAATAGAAAAGAGAATAAAGAAAAATTCAAAAGCTCATTATTTATTGAAGAGCAGTAAAAACGATCAGCTTCTAGCCAATGCTTAGGAAAACAGAAATCACAAAGGGCCAACATCAAGAACGAGAGAGAAGGGCCGGGCGTGGTGGCACATGCCTGTAAGCCCAGCACTCGGGAGGCTGAGGCAGGAGGATCGTTG